ACATGCCACTTTTTTGATGAAATAAAAGCCTTTTTAGTGATTTTGCTTCTTATTGCAACCCCAGATCTCCACAAGGAATGATAAAAGTTAAAGTACATTTATGTATTTTTTAATGTCCTTGTTTTTTAGTTCATGTTTCAATTTTTTGTTTTCAACATCAAAACATGCATTCAAAACATAATGCATTACATCAAAATATTACTCATTCATTATTTTATTAGTAGACAAAAATTAAAATCTATATGCACAATACAAAGAAAGTTATAACAATTTTAAAACAGTAGGAGTTCATGTTTATGTACTCTCAAAAAAAATGCAGTGGCAGGGGGGAACAATTCTAGAAAGAAATTAGTCAGGTAAAGGTTAAAGATTCTGATTGCATCAGATGCAAGTGATTCAGGTGTTGGAGTGGCAATACTATACAAATATGAGGACGGAAAAACTAAACCAATAGCTCATGCTTCAAGGTCATAAATTGCAGCTGAAAGCCAGATAGAAAAGGAAGCCATCGTATTTGCTATGAAAAAATTTCATAAATTCATACATGGTAGAAAATTCATACTACAGACAGACCATCATCCATTATTGTCCATATATGAGTCAAAAAGGATGTTCCCACACATATAACAAATAGACTGCAGTGCTGGGGAACTATCCTATTGAATTATAATTATAAAATGGAGTTAAAAAAAAATTAAGTCATGCAGACGGATTATCTAGGCTAATACCAAAATTCTGCGAACCTCTTGAGGACACAGTAATTGCAGCAATAAGGGCCAAAAATGAAATTAATAATGTATTATATAATACTGTAAGAGAACTGCTCATAACATCGTTGGAAATAAAAATTAAGGTCGAAAAAGACAACGTTATAATGAAAATGAAGAAGCAATTAAGATTTAAAGGAAAAAATATTACTGGAAATAACACATTTTCATTATGTAATAATGTACTTATGTATGTAGAAAGAATTGTGATACCAGCATCGTTGCAAAAATGTATGCTAAAGGAATTTCACATAGGACATTCCGAAATTTCTATAATGAAATCCTTAATGAGACGTTATACTTACTGGCCCAAAATGGATCAAGATATTGAAAATTTAGTGAAATCATGCAGAGGTTGTGCTCTGACAGCAAAGTCATTGCCTATCAAAATTCAACCTTGTCCAAAAACCAGTATGCCATGGTCCAGAATACATATAGACTTCTCAGGACCGCTAAACCGGCATACTATCTAGTGGTAGTCGATAGTTACACTAAGTAGCCAGAAATATTAAAATGTAGGAGACCAACTACTGTGGTAACAATAAATTTCCTACACAAGATTTTTGCAAGGTTCAGTGTTCTTGACTGTATCATTTCAGACAATGGGACTCAATTCACGTATATTGAATTAAGTTTTTTTGAAAATCATTAGCAATAGAACATATTATAACTCCTACTTATCGCTCAAGATCAAACTGACAAGTGGAATTGTTTGTCAATACATTTAAAATGGCACTAAAAAAGTCAGAGGGAGAGGAGTTAGGTGAATTAATGATTCAGCAATTTCTGAGTGTTTTCAGAATAACACCAAACCCGAATACCATGTCTGGAATGTCACTTTGCCAGGAAGATTAATTCTGTTTTTAATAAATTATTACCAGAACATAAAGTGAGAGCATCAAGAAATAACAATATAAGTAAATACTTCAAAGCTGGACATTTTTTAAAATGTATCAACGTGGAAAAGAATTCCGGGAAGATGGCGTTATAAAAAACGGATCATCAAAATGACATACATGGTACAGGGACAAAGGTGGCAACATAAGCGACATCTTAATCAATTAAAACACAGATTCACTGATTTTAAAAAGTCTCCAAAAAGATGTACCTATAATTTTGTATGAAACATTTGATGTACACATGCTATCAGAAATTGTTGAATCCAGGTTTTATGGTAAGAGAAAAAGAATAGCAACAGAATTTCTAAATACTGAACCAAAGCTGAAGAAATATAGACTCCAGAGAAGGTGTTATAGGAATAAAGTGTCACTGCCGACACTTGGGTTTGAACACAGATTGCCAGAGAGCAAGCACAGTCAACATCATCTTGAAATAATTAGATCACATGACGGGTAAAGGATATATATATATATATATATATATATATATATATATATATATATGGAATTAGCAACGTCTGACCGAGTTTTGTTCGAAGGCATTACTATTGTTGTATCTGATTTACAAAGTCTCTTCTACAAACAGCATTACAAAAGTGTGTAAATGTAAAAGTGGACATTGAAGTCAGTACCCAATAGCAACAGACTGTTTCATGCTTAAACACAATATTCAGGTCTGAAAATTGTGTTTAAGCATAAAACAGTCTGTTGCCACTGAGTGTTGACTTCAATATCCACTTTTGTGTGTGTGTATATGTATCTCAACAGAAAATACCTGTTTCATCATCTATTGTAAATAGCAATTCCCATGAGCAGGAAATCGGTGCTCATTACTGATATTTGATAGAGATCATAGCGCCTGAAAAAGCATTCAAATGTCATCCATTGCCTGTAGCTAACATAAAATATAACAAAATCACTCACTCAACTACCACTACTATCACTTGCTGTCTATTAATACACAAATGCATACTCCATAAAACCTAACAATAAACTTTACCCCATCCTTAAATGTAATGAGATGCATTATATAAGTTCACACCCTAATAATTGCCGGGGCGGGGGGGCATTTTACACTAAATATTTATTTAACTTTCAACATAATCTTTCAAATTAAAAATCTGTTTTGGCATGCTGACTTGTGTGTGGGTAATGCTCTTTTTCTGTATTTTAAAATCTGTAAATGCTTCAATTTATTCACATTTAGAGACAACTCACCATCACTATTTAATTCAAATTTTTGCACATTTGTTTAATTTATGCATTTAATACCTTCACAATTATTTTCTCTTCTACATTAACAGTTTTAGCTCAAATTGCTTACATTGCAGAAACAAATATTTACTACTTATTAAATGTTATTTTAATTTCATATTTTCTTAAATAGAGCTGAATTTTCAAAGCAGCAGAATATTTGGAGATTTGTCTGTACCTGAAATTATTATTTTCAAACATGTATTAGCAGCTTAGAAGATAACAATTTGAACAGGTTTAAAATTACATCTGGATTTAAGCAATAATTCATGTAGCTGATTTTTGTTTCTCTGGCAGTAGTCCCTCTCATCTCATATCCTGATACAAAAATCTGTATTAATAAAACATTATGATAGGGTGGGTAGGAGCAAGGAGAGACCTATCTTAAAAAGTGTTACACCTATAACTGATATTGCTGCATTCTTTAAATATTAAAAAAGAAAAAAAGTTATTGAGAAAGATCACTATTACTTTGGATAGTTACCTTATTTATATAAAATACTTTATTTTTGTTTTCATGAAAGCCATGTTTATCACATAGATTCACAGTAAAGCTTCACCCTGAAAATATGACTTTAAAAATATGAGGATATTTATTTTGGTACCTTGTCCATTATATCACAAGTACTGTGGCCCATTAATGTCATAGAGGCACCATATATACTGCAGCTATAGTAACAGTGCCTCAGTCTAGAACAATATAGCCTTCTCCTAGATTTGTTACCACCTTAAGGCAAAAGGACCCAGCTATTTAACCCATAACTGAGGGGAGAAGTGATGGATTCCTATCTTTCCCAACATTATTTGTGGGAAAGTGAATGTAACAAACTCAGCTGAAATTAACATTCAGCCATTTTAGTATTAAAAGCCAAAACTTGTATGTTTGTTCTGTATGAACTTTTATTTCATAATGTCAGTTGACCTGTTTTCCTTTGTCTTGCAGGTTTGTCAGAGGTGACACAACGGCAGTTAGTTATGTGAGATGAATGACATAAATGTTGCTTGCTCATTTCTCAGTCACCCTTGAACAAGTTGTAACACCATCTGCCACTTAAAATGATTATAATAATTGAAAATCTTAAATACTTTAAAAACTTTCATAAAAAAAAAATCCTTAAACATCATTCTTAGTTATAATTTATTTATTTAATGCTGCCACGTAAAAGATATGAATTTGAATTTTAGTTGTTTTGATGTTGAAGAAATCTCACAACTGGCAATTTGTAATAACAAATTGCACATGAATCTTTTATGTATAAATTTCTTTTCCAAAGACGATTGAGGTTATATTGAGCAGTAACACTAATAGATCCTTGTAAAATTGAAAAATTGTCAGTTCTTTGGTGAAATATCATTATTTGATCAATTAATAAAACAAGTATCTTCATCTTTGTTTTGATTACCACATTTAGCCATTATACTCTCTGCCCTTCCTATATATATATATATATATATATATATATATATATATTGTGCGTGTAAAAATATATAGAAAATAGGAAAGAACTCATTAGGTAAATAATCCAAAGTTCTTTAGTATTTTTGTTATTATTTTTTAAAAATAGTGCTCGATACAAAAGTAGAGCATAAATATAATTATTTATTTAAAAATATGATTCCAAATTCAAATAATTATATTGAAGTTTTCGGCTCTTGTTTTGAAACATGAGAACTCTTATGTAGCATTGGAATCATATTTTTAAATAAATAATTATATATATATATTACACTGCATCTGATGAACTTTCTCAACAAAAATTCATTTAGCACAAAAAGAGCCACTAAATGCAACTGTCATCTAATAATTCTCAGCAATCTAACCAGTCAAAATATGATAAGCAAAAAACAGATGGAGATGCAAATTAGTCATTGAATCAACTAAGAATTACCCTTAGTAGATTCATAGAGTAAGAAACTAGAAATTGAAAGGTCCAAAGTATTGTCAAGATTTTTAGTTTATTCACCATTGTGACAATTCTGATTTTACAGCCAAGCAAATTGATCAATAATTCTTGTAAATCTTTGATATTTTGACTTGAAATTTGTTTACTTTTTTCTGATATGCTTTTATTTTTTTTAGGCCATACAAGAATTTCTAGTGAAATCCAAAGAGAAACTGGATTCACTCTTAGCAGAAGAAAACTTCTCTCTCATTTTACCCAAGGTATTTATTTAAATTCACTTTATATGTGCACATGGTGTAGACACATACATGAATACAGATCTTAATTTTCTCATCAGATTTCAGCTCAGAAATTCAAGTAAATATTTTCCCTTATCAGAGAAAGGAAACTACCTGTACAAAATTCCAAAGTTAATGACTTTTCACCAAATTCATTCAGGGTTCAGTTCTCTCTGGTTCCCTTTTTTTCTCTTCTTTTTCATTGGTTACTTTTGTTTATCGTGTGGGAGCATCATCCATATCAGTAGATCCACTTCCAGCTAACTAGCTAGCTGCACACATGGCAGTTCTCACTCCAGATTTCCAAATGCATGTCATGCGGGTTGACTGCAGAGAATTTCTACTCTCTGCAATCACAATCAGCTCCCTCCATGATATCTTGGCCTCCCAGGTACTCACTTTCCTTTAACCTGAAAGTCACAGGGTGTACTTAATAGCACCACTGAAATTCTCCACATGTCCATACCAACAAAGCCTTCTTTCTATCAGGATGAGATCAAGATCCTCAAGCTGCAACAACAACCCACTTGATCATATAGTGGCCGCATCCCCTGGCTTGATATTACAGATCTGTAATTATACTGCAAGCACTAAAGGCTTTGCCAGGTCTCGCTGGCATGGAGCAACACACTCCAAACGCAAGTGCTATAAACACGGCCGCATGTACTATGTGAGAGGTGGTGAGAAGGGAGGCATTTTTTACCCATACTGTGGTTTCAAGTTTACAGCTGCCTGCTGCAGAAAGCATATCACCCAGGTAGCAGAAGGAGGCTAGCACATCCAACTTGTCAGGTACAACCAAGATACTGGTCTGTGATCTGCCATCAATGGGGCACATGGATCCCAAATGACATACACATTTGAAATCTTAATCCTTCACCAGATGTCCGAGCTTACTGCATTTCTTGTGCACCCAGAACTCGGCGCATCATGAAATACAACAATTATTTGATATTTGCAAGAATTTCTGAATGTGTTTTTTAATACAAAAAAGATGCTAAAATTTTGCATCTTTGGCCCACCTGCTGACACAAGAGAAACAAGATTTTTAACCAAAAAAAGGATTAAAAAATTTAAAATAATAAAAAATACTTTGGTTTTGACTCTTAATAATAACAAACATTTTAACGATAAAACTTTGTTTTTATCAAGTTTGTGGCTTTTTTTATCTTAGTATGGTTTTTTTTTTTTTTTTTTTTTTTTTAAGGTACCAATTTTATTGTACTATTTTTCATATTTAAGATTCCAAAATGTTTCTTTAATGAATTCTAATTCAAAAATAAATATCATATCTAAGCAATCCTAATTCAAATGTAAATGAATAAATATTGCATTTACAAGGTAAACTTTATTCATAAAAATGCAGTATTTATTCACAAGATAATCATTAATATTAATTTATATATCATATCTATAATAGAAAAAAATATTAGATAATTATTATTAAAATTATCATAAAAATGATTAATAATTATAGAAAATTTAAATATCAAAATATAATTTTTTTTTATTTTTTATTTAATGTATTTTGCTTGTGGTGGGCTTGTGTCCGTTTTTCAACTTTCGAAAGCAACTTTTTTTGTAATGTCCAAACAAAAAACAATACAGCCGCTATTTTGAAATATTGTAAGTGCTATTTTGAAAGTATTGTAAGTGCTGCTGTTATCACCAAGTGGGTAGGTGGAGCTTGTGTTGTCAAGGTTTCTAATTGTATTTTTTGCAACAATATTTTAGATCAAAAAGTAAGGCAGACAGCTGCCATTGTAAAAAAAATAAATAAAAAATTCACGAATTTGGACAAAACAAAACAGAATTACCTCAAAATCCACCAAAAAGTTTTTCACTCTTTAATAGTAAATTGTGCTCAGTTTAACTTGTAACATATATAAATGTAGGTAGAAAAAAAAAGCAAATGTTGATAAGATAGCGAGAGTCACAAAGTTCCACATGGCGTTCTGCCAACACTGCCTCTTCCTAGAAAATGTGCCTGCTTTTATGAAACCCAAAACATTAGCAGTTGCCTAACAAAAGGATTCTATTGCATGGCTAACACTGCTATTTCATGGGGAAGCTGATGTCTCAGGGTTTGTACCGTCACTGTTTTAGCAGGGATATCATTTGCTTTCTTTCTGCATTGATAGCACACAAAACATTGTCTATTTGATCACCAGGGAGGGGGAAGGTACAGTTATCAGTAGAGGCAGGCAGCATCTCATTTCGATTACATAATCACCTCAAATCATCATTTTGCATTCTCATACAACCAAACATTGATCTAGGGCCAGCACCCTGTTATATGTATATGTCATTAAGATTGCAAGAGTTAACAATATTAAATGTGAAAATGCTTCTAACTTAATTAGTTTCTTATCTAAATTACTATTGAAATATGAGATGTTAGCATTAGGAAGTTAGCAATTCAAAATGCTTTTCATTGGCTGTTGATATGAGAAATGATCATTTTCAGAATTTTATCAATGTCAAGTTGTCATTATGACAAATTTTATCACAATTACTGATAAAACACTGTTGGAGACTTTTGTATTTATCTCTGACATTTGACTTTTTTTTTTCTTGTGTTAAGTGAATACATTTGTGACATGCTGAAGCACAGCTCAGTGGTTACAACATTGGATAATATGTTACAAAGGTATTTTGGTTATTCAAGCTGAAAAAGGAATACCCATTAAGCATAATTTTTCAAAATTTAATTAAAAGTGATTCTATAGATTTTTAAATACTGACCATTTTTAGTGTTGTTTTTAACACATTTCAGCTTTGCTATATTGTCTGAAGTTCCCAATAAAGTATTTTCATTATTCCAGAGATTTTTATTTGCAAACCATCGGCACAAATATTCTTCTGTTTTACCAGGTGTTTATTGTATCTGTTGTTTTTTTTTTTTTTAATTATTAATTTTCTTTTTTATCTCCACATTTAAAACACTCAACAGAATCAGAGGACTGAGTGTTAAGGCCTTGTGTTAATTAAAGTGAAAACAGAAAAGATTCTTATAAAAACGGTCGGCTTTTTATGGAATATATTAATGAGTTCACAATGTGTTAACTGAAAGTCTTTGAATAGTTCTGCATTAATCTCAAGTATGTTAGATTTCTTGAAATACTGGCTTCCATAACGTATTAAGATTTATACTCAGTTTAATTTTTTCCTTTTGGACTTTGATTTCTTATTGTGCTTAAGTTTGACTTCATTACAAAAAAAAAACAGGCTGGAGAACACATCAGTCAAAACAGTGTGTTAAAAATCACAAAATAAAAGTAATGAATAGAATTTCATTTCAGAATTTGAGATAATGCAGGAAAGCCAAAGTATATACCAGCCAAAAGATTCTATTAAAAATAATAAAAATAAGAACTAAAAATAGTCTGAAAATTTTATCTGATTTAAAACATGGGCAAGTAGATTTCTTTATTTAAATCTGTCTTCTAGATCATTCACAATTTTCCCTATCAATAATTGTTGTTATTTCAACAAATCCATAAGATGACTTCCTGTTAATGCTACATTATCTCAAACATCTTTTCATTGAATAATTTCTGCTCTGAGGATCCAAATATCTGTTTTGATTGGATTGCTTCATTGCAGCATCAATAGAACTTTTAAACTTCAATTCAAAAATCACATAAGTTTCTCAAGTGAGAAAGAAAAATGCACTCAGTAAATCCCTTTTTATTATTTTTTTACACTTTTCTTTCCTCCTAAAAAAAAAAAATGTGCATACAAGATTAAAAAAAAAATGAGCATACAAGATAAAAAAAAAAAAAAATGACCAAGGTTTAATAACCGTAACAACAACTTGTCACATTCTGTTATAATTAAGAAGAAAAGTCAAAGGATTTTTTGATGTAAAAAATTATTTTTTATCCTTTTTAGAAACTTAATTTCTTTTTTTTTTTTACATCAAAAGGGGGCCGTAAATTAGTAAGGGAAATTTAAGCATCTTTTTGCAGTGAAAAACATTGATTTTAAAATTCTTGAAAAAAGAATAATTGTTGGATTTTAATAAAACTTTCAAGACTTATTCACAAATGAATGAAATCATTTTTTAAACATTTCTTTTTCAGAAAATCTTGGTAAAAATAGTTTTTTTACATCTTTTACTCCACATTTATTTAATTTTATGAAATTTCAAGAAAATACTTTTGGTTGTGCTTAATGATTATATATCCAAGAATTTAAATCAACAATTTTTTTTTTTTTTTTTTTTTTTTTTTTTTTTTTTTTTGTCAAAAAGAACCCCTAGTTAGAGAAAATCTCCTTTTTTTTCATAAAATAATGCAATAAAACACGACATTTAAATAGAAAAGTTTTTCATGAATAAAATATATATTATGGAAACTATTGTCTTAATAAAAAAAGTTTTTTGATAGATAATGAATTTTTACAATTGTTTTAATTTTAATTAGAATTTTTAAAATTCTGTATTAATTTTTTTCATTCAAGTAATACTGTTATTAAATATACTTACTCATCATAAACAGAAAAGCTTACTACAATTACCACTCGTATTTCAAAAAGAATTTTGAATTTTTACATAAACTTGACTATTTTTGTAAATATGAATGTCCATGCACAACATTATCAGAAAATAACAGCAGAAACTTTAGTAAATTTCATATTTATTGGTAATTTCCTAACATCTCTTCAACAAGCCCCTTTATAAGTAAGGTTATAAAACAGAAATACCTAAAATTCAATAAACTATTAGAATGTTTAAAATAATATCTAAAAAGGTATATCTATTGTATACATCATGTAATTTTACAAGTTTTTCCCTCTTACATAATTCTTAGAAACATCAGGTTATCAATAGATGTGTCAATCTCATAAAAACACCCATATCTGTGTTAAAAAATGATTTTCTGCAATATTTTAAACTAAAAGTAATATTTGTTTTAATTCAGATTAATTAAACTTTAAATTTGTTAATCTTCCGCAAATAAAGTTTCAGAAAAAGTATATTTTATTTTTGAAAGATTTTTGTCAATATGGCTAATTTTCTTATTCTGGTTTTTGACTCTACTCTATATAGTTGGTAAAATATTTAGCAGGGCTCCCTCAAAGTACTTTCTCCATAAAGAATTATGTTCTTTTTTAATTAGGGTGGCATTTGTAAAATAAAAGTTATGCCCAGTTTTGTTTCTGTGTATTATGAGCGAATTTAAAGGGTTGTCCAAACATTGATCCCTTTTATGCTTGTAGATACAGGATTTTAGACTCCAAGGTGTCTCGCTGTTGTAAATGAAGACAACTGACAAACATAATATTTACTAGACACACACACACATACACACACAGACAAATATACATTATCAAGTGACTCCCACATAATCAAACTAGAATTATGATACACTTACATAGATAAAGCAGTGTTTGTGGGTTTTTTTTCAGTTAGTCTTGGAATTCTGTAACTTTAAAAGGACGCATCATCTCTACTTGAATTCGGAATGCCATAAATTATACTAATGTTGTGAAACATGTTAGATTCATAAGCGTTTTTCATTTGTTCTTTCAAAGTATGTAAGATGGAATACATTTTTAATAATGGTTATTTTATATCTGTGTGGACATTTGCTATTTTCATAATGGCATGGTATATGTATTTCTTAGGTCTAATGGAGGTAGATAACTAAAATTAAGAAAATAAAATTAACAATTACATATTCATGTTTGAATGTTAAAGACATCTAAGGAAAGGATTTTTATTTCAGCATTCAAACATGTACTGAATTGTTGATTTTAATTGGATTATTAGCAATGCAAATAACAATAAGTTGACATAGATTGTAGGTTTAGTGATCCATTATATTTAACAGCCCCAACGAGGGATGTATGTGGCACAAGGCCGAGTTTATCCTGAGTTCTCCAAACCCATAGTCTCGGCCCAAAATATTCCCTTAGAACCCACATAAACGGGTTCAGGGCCTGTCTACCTCCCCAGACAAAACTTTGCCCTTTCGGCAAAGCCTCATCTGGGTTCCTCTCTGCTGAGGCAGAGAGTTCGACAGTTACAAACAGTCTGGTCAACTGTTCCCAGGTTTAGTGATCTGTTGGAGTACTGTATTTCCTAAGTGAGACACATGCATACACACACAATTTAATGGTGCTGCCTTGTCTCTTCTGTTGCTGAAGCCATTGCTTAATACCAATTTCCTAATGATAAGATATACTAGACTACTTAGTTTGACAAAGAAAAATTGTATTGTATTTGTCTTTCAAGTGGCGATGGACTGCTCACCCTAAAATAAATATTTCTTGGCTTTTACCTGATGTTTATTGGAAATCCACAACTACTTCAGACATAAGTTGACTGCTTAAATTTAGCTTGATGACTTTCTATTTTCTTAACCTTTTCTGTTTTTTATCAAAGGTTATTGAAACAAAATCCTTTTTCTTATTGTATAACAAACAGTGCTACCCTCTTGTGACCTATTTTAGTAGTTATTTGCTCTTGCCAAGCATAATTGGTCCATTTATATTGCAAGAAAAAAACATAATAACACACCGAAAGTATTTCTAACAACACTTATTGGAAAAGTGTTAGAGAACACAATGATCAAAACAATGAAGATGAGAATACTAATGTGCATAATTTCTGATATGCCAATAATACTGCTTCTCAAGAACTTCTACAACAATTGCTTATAAAATTTATTTTTCTCTGAGATGAGTTAGTAGTCTGAACATCAATATACCATGACCTGCAAACATAGAAGAAGGTTGTGACCTCTTTAAATAATCTAGGTCTCATCTTAAGCAAAATTGGAAGTTACTTTATAAAAATTCAGAATCTGGTAGAGTTAGAAAAAAATACTGTGTGGATAATGACTTTAAAAAAAAAAAAAAACATAGACTATCACATGACCAATATATAGCAATCATTAAGTCAGAAGAGCTTTTCTTTATGACAATGAACCCAATATATTTTTATATTTCAGATATAATTATTAATTTGCTTATTGATTTTTTAATATCTTTTCAAAATTATTGATAAAAACACAAATCCTCAAATGCTTAATAACATTTTTGTCAACAGATGAATTTTATTTCATCAAATACATTTGTCAAATGATTTATGTATTTGCTATTGTCATTGATATTAAATTTTTTAAAAAAGTCCAAATTGTAGGATTTTAATTGCTTTCAGTTTTTTCCAAAGAGTTTCAGAATATTCCACAGATTTATTCTTTTTTCTTCATTTATTTTTTTATTGCTTTCTATCATAACACTATCAGTGAATCTTTTTCAACTTTTAAATTAAATAAATGGCTTCAGACATAAACTTGCCTCCCATTTCACAATAGAAAGTCTTTTGTTGACAATATCTTAATGAATTTAGCTATCAAAGCCATCCTGCATAGAAAAAGTTCATATCTGTCATGTTCCAGGCACCCTGTTTTTTTCCAACTTTATTCTGCATCATGTTGATAACATGTAAATATTTGAAACATTTCAGAATGTTGTGATAAAAAGAAACAAAAAAAGCTTAAAAAATTCATAACAGTTCCTATTTTATCACAAAAATTAACTATTTTCTTTTGTGTTACTAAATTCTTGATTGAGTGCATTTTAATGGTTGGCTATTTTTAAACTTTGTATGTACTACTTGATCTTTAATAAATTCTGCTTACTTCTTGGTCTCTCTTTTTGTCAGACACCATCCACCACTGATGTGTGCTCAAATAGTCTGACTGTACACAGATCTGATGAAGCCAGAAAAATGCAAAGGATGCTCCAACAAAACAAATGTGCCAAGCTGCTGACCTATGAAAGTGGCCCAAGTTTATCACCATTGTCACTCCAAGTGCCTTCAACTGTACGCAAAGCATTTAAACCCCCCTCTATAACAAAGTTAAAAAACTGAAGAATTTTTTTTATTTTATCATCAAAGGAAGCAAATTTGGCTTACTTGTATTTTTTCCAACATTCCTGAAAAATTTCTTCAAAACTTTTTACTTTTCGTATTTTCATAATTTGTGCTTCTCAGTATTTTTGTTTTTGCTTTGTGGATATAAAAACTGTTACAAAATCTATTTTCCATGTAAATTCACAAATGGTACTCTCTAAATTCAGCTTTGACAGAATGATTCTAAACCACATTCAGTTGTCTGCTCATCATTTTAATGAAAGCACAGTGCTAATCACATTTCATCAAAATCTCAAAAATGTGTTTTCATTTTTCCTTGTTTCCTGTTTAACCCAAAACAGTTCTTTTGTTTTTTGTTCAATTCTTTTCCGTCATTTTTAAATAAAATAAAAAATTTAAAAACCATGTTAATTTTTGTCTTTATATCTAAACACAGTCTTATTGAAATCTTTTCTGAAGTAGACTTCTACACTAATGTCCTATTTGAGTGGCACTACGTGATCCAGCACCAAAGATCAAATTCTTAATGCTTCCTTGGAAAAACAATATAAACCAACAAAGCAACAAAAAATACATTCCTAAAATTAATGCAAGAAAAAGCAAAAACTAAAAATTGATTCAAAAGAAGCGATTCTTTCTTGCCTATACTCTGATAAAAATCAAGTTATGCTTAGTAAATATTTATATTCACACACACACACACACACACACACACACAAGGTGGTGCTGAAAAGCCAAGCCCAATCCATTTCTCAAAATGTCTCCAAACAATTTTTTTTTTTTATAGAATTTACTGGTTACAAGAAAAAGGTTTCACCTCATCTGTGCATATATATATATATATATATATATATATATATATATATATATATATATATATAAAACACACACATACTGTTATATAGAAATAAAGTGTTGCTGCTGACAATGGAGTTGGAACACAAATCACCAAAAAGCAAACACAGGCGATCCTATTTTGAATAATCACGTGATGGTAAACAAAATGTATATATGGGAATTAGCATGGTGTCCAAGTCATCACTATTCGGTGGTTACTATTTGAGTAAGTATTATCAAGCAAGTACTATTAGTGCAAGTATTATTTGAAGGCATCTGACACCAGTATTCAATGGTGTTACTATAGTTATATCTGCAGTTAACAAAGTCTCTACTACAACAAACATTACGAAAGTGACAGCAAGTATTCATTGACATTGCATAAGTGGCAACGTGTGTTCGTTGACATCACAAAGTGGTGACAAGTATTCGTTGAACTTGCACAAGGATTCTTTCAACTTGGATAAGGATTCGTTCAATTTACACTAGGTAAAAAATTAATCAGCAGAGTGCAACGGAATAGAAGAATTAAAAGCTATCATGGTTCAATGTTGCAGCAACAAAAATATGAAAAACAATTGTTTTACCAAAATGATGGATGGAAAAACTTCAGATTTATTCATTTCAGATGCTGCTGTTAATTCAATTAATAAATTTGTGTACAATCCAAATGAAGTGATGACTTTTCCATTTTATAAAAGATACGAAGGGATCTTCAAAAGGGATTGTTCGCATTGGAATGATGAAAAGAAAGTTTGGTTATTATTAAGGAAATGGTCCCCTGCTGAACATGAAAAATATGTAAATTATATTTTGCCGGAAAAACTAAGAGAGAAATTTTAATGAGACGGAATTTTTGGTGATAGGATTTCATTATTTAATACACGATGGCAATGTCCTAACTTAGTAAAGTCCGACGATGAAGATTTTATCACTTATGCAGGAGTCATGAATCGAGAATGTGAAAAGTTCAAGTTAAATGAATTAACTTGTGATCAATTTAAATGTCTGATACTCGTACAGGGTTTAACTTCTCATAAGGACGTGGCGATAAGATCCAGGATACTTGCTAAATTAGAAATGGATCCCAAAATAACTCTCCAGAAAATAGCGGAAGAGTGTCAACATATTGTGAATTTGAAACTTGATACCACAAGGACTGAGGAAAAAGACAATTCATAAGTACGTAATGTCCGACCATCTAAGAGAAAATTGTTGAGGTAAAATTTTAAAAATGATTTTCTTCAAGAACAAAAAATATTATAAATATGGGAGATTAGGACACAAGTACGTGTTGCAAATACAAAAAAAATGGAGAAAAAACGTATGTGAACATGATAAATACATGGAGTAACGATAAGAAACCTAAAAGGGAAATTAACAAGACATCTCAAAAGAGGAAATTTGTTTTTGTGCAAATTAATAATGTAAAAATAAAATTGCAACTAGATACAGGATTTTATATCACTATCACAAATCAACAGACATGGAGAAAAATGAGTAAACCTAGTTTATTAACTTCTGTTAAAGTTCCGCATGGAATCTTAGGAAAGAGATTGAACTTTTGGGGGTGAATTCAACTGTAACGTTTCTTTTGTGGAAAATACTGTGGTGTTTGTATCAAAGAATATTGCTAACTTGTTTGGAACAGACTGGATCACATTGTTTGATCTTTGGGACCTCCCAATTAACTCTTTTTGCAACAAGTTAAATATTGTTACCTCCGGTACTAATATGGCAACTGAAACATTGAAAAATGAAGTGAAAAAGAGTTTTTTCAGAAGGTCTAGGGACATACACGAAAGCAAAAGCAAAAGCTAAGTTTGAGTTAAAAGACAATGTAACACCGATATTTAAGCCAAAAAAGAGTGTACCTTTTGCGGCCTTAGATCCAATTAATAATGAATTGGGCAGACTATAAAAATTAGGTGTGATATCAAAAACAAACTTCCAAATGGACATCAACAGCACACGTTAAGAAGGATGTGTTAATATGGTGGCGTGGCCGGGCCGCGGCCTGCTGTCTTTGGTCGGGATCGATCCTGGTATCGGAGAACAAGCCGTCAGTCCACACTCGTCGGTCGTTGGTGGCGTTTTACACTGCAGCTGGTCTTTAAGTTGACCTCTTCAACTATGACCTCTATTACCCACGTTGTGATTTTTGATGTTAAGAGGGTCAAGCCGAATTATCATCGGGGTATCTCAACCAACCTAAACCAAGGAGTTGAATACGCGCACACAAAATTGAAAATAAAATAGATGTCGCCTGAATAAGCCACTAGATTATATTTATATCAAAATAAAAAAAAATACTTTTTTTTTCTTTTCCCAACCCGTTTATATTTGGCAACGGAACGAAAATTTCGGCTAACTTCTCTAAGGATGGCCAGACTTGACAACTAGATTTCTTCAAGTAATGTTGATTGTACTTCCAAAGACGGCACAAGAATCTCGTCGGAGTTTTTCTTCAGCGACAACTGGATTTAACTTCAAGTGCTGTTGATTGTACTTTCAAGTACGGTACAAGGATATCGTCGGAGTTTTTCTTCGGCGGATAATTATTATTATCATTAGGTTGCAAAACAGCATAATATCAAAAATCTCTTAACTCCCCGTCCGCGTAACTCGCTGCAACTCCGGATCACAATTCCAACTCCAACTACTTTAGCCCCCGTCGGCGCTTGTATTTATGGGTGTTCATTCCTAATGGTATGGTGAAGGCGCATAAGTGAGGTTTTATGCAAATATCCTAAAATTAAACCAGTCTCCTTCTTTCGTTCTCTGTTTCACACTTCCAATTTTGAAAGATCCCCCCTCCTCTGGGAGGAGCCATTATATGATGTCAATCTTCCTGACGTCTCCCTCAATTGCTCATTGTGTCTTCACAATTATAATTTTCTTTCTCAGAGAAATTTTTGTTAATAATTTTCCCAATATCCTGGGAAAATGAGTCCCTTTCTGATTAAAAAAAAATCGTTCGTTCGTATGCCATGTTAAATATTGTTACACTAATTTTTCAACGGGGTTAAATGAAAGTTTAAAACAACATAACTACCCGTTACCAAGTTCAAAGCAATCAGAATTTACAGCCTAATTTATTAGGGAGTATCTCCTCTTCGTGTAAATTTGCAGAATTTACACGAAGAGGATATACTCCCTAATATATTAATTCATAGTGAAAGTAAATCAACCGTAATTTCTATTCTAATAGTTTCTTCGCTCGCACTTCTCGCCTGCGAAACTCTTTTCCGATTTCAAGCTTTTCCTGTCAACTAACCCCCCCACAAAACGTCAATGCAATATCAATAATTATCCATTCTTTTATTGTCTTTTGTAGTCGATAACGTTTTCTTTGCTTTTCTCACTCTCAGTAACCGCTTGCGTCTTCATGTTTTTTATCGACATGCTTTGGTTGAAATGATTTAAAAATTAAAAAAAAAATCATTTTATTTCCATGATATATTTTGTCAACCTGATTTCATATCTTGAAAGAAATAAAACTAAACAGAATTTAATTTCATCCAAATCATCTTATCCAGTCACTTTTTGTTGACTTTGTAGCCTGAAACATGGTGGGATCATCGTTTCGCACTCAAAGGACATATTGAAGGTAAAATGGAGCCTAGAGAGACAACGAGTAACCAACCCCTAAGGAGTTTGTGTGAATGAATTTTAGAACATGGATAATAAACGAAGAAACATTACTTAGAGCAACAAAATATAGGAATGTGTAGAGAGCCATGATCACCCACGCCCTGAAGGGACACGGCGCATACAAGAAGAAAGGTTTTAATGTGTTCTTATTTACCGATAGCAAAATCGAACCATTGGGTGCTCTACGACTTGTGACACACTAATTTTAGTAAATTATTATTGTAAGAAGTTCAGATTTAAAAACTGACTAGATTCCAACATATTTCCTGAAATGCCCAAAATGCCTGGTCAATTGGACTGAATGAACAGGTTTTTACTGGCGAACCTGACCATTCAATTCTGCAGGGATCCATTACCACAACCCGCACGAGGATCTGTCGGCTTCCATACTTCCTTTTCTCATTCAACTTTTCCATTTATTTACATAAAAAAGATAACCTTTTTGTTTTGTTTTTTCGTCTGCTGCGTATAACAGCATCCGTTTTGTAGGAAGCATTTTATATTGT